CCCGAGGCTCGCTACCCCTGCGGAGGAGAAAGACACGTCTTTATTGAGCTGAAAACGAGCGCTAGACAGAGATGAAACTTCAGACGAAAAAACCAACAAACCCAAAATAACAAAAAAAAAAAAATAAAAAGCCCCCGCCGAGGATAAAAGAAACCGGTTTAGTCTACGTTAATAACCTCGTGATACGCAAACGTCAAAACGCTTCCACGCTACGACAATCGCGACAGCTCGGGGGTTCTCGCCGTGACGGCACAGCGAGAGGACGCGACGTCCCCGACCGAGGGCCCGGCCCAGCCGCGGGGGAAGCGAGGGCTGGTCGCCACCTCCCAACACCCAAAACTGGGGGGTGAGGTGCTCCCCTCCGACTAAAATACAACGGCAAAAAAAAAAAAAATCCCCATAAACTAAAGCAGCTCCGATTGCACACGTCAGTCCCAACGGCGGCGTCGGCGTCATCGGTCAGCGTGACGCAGCGCAGCTCAGTTAAGCCCAAATGCTATGTTTATTGAGGACTTCTAATATCGTGATAATCCTTGGTTCGGTAATTGGTGAAATACCTAAATATCGTTAAATATGCTTTTAAAAAACCCTAACCAGACTCTGGACTAAACGAGATGAACGTTAAACTAAAAAGTTAGAAGGGACGCCGTTAACATTAACACTTCCTTTAAAAAATATAATTGCTTTTTTTTCTTTCTTTTTTTTTTTTTCTTTCTTTTTTTTTTTCTTTCTTTTTTTTCTTTCTTTTTTTGAAGTCAATTAACCACAGTGGTGAGACGTGCTCTCTTCTTCAGCTGTTAACAGTGCAGCGTGCAGAGTTTTACTTCCCAGATCACACCAGCCCCGCCGTAACCGAACTGAAAGGGACAACTTGCACCCGCCTGCGGCACGGCGCCGCCTCCCCGTCACGTGGAAAAGAGTTGTGTCACCACTGTGCGATGGGGCAGCCGAAAACCAGGAGTCTCTTGGCCAACGCCAGGACGCGGTTGGAAAAGCCTTCCGTGTTCTAATAAGAAAAGTCCATAGGAAGCTGCGAACAGGATCAGTCCAGAGGAGTAAAACTCTTTTGTGCCCGTCCAAGTGTCAGTCAATGTACTGCGATAGCCAGCGGAAGCCTTCGCCGTAGCCTTGCCTCTTCAGCACGCTGCACATGAACACCTCCATGGGGCGCGCGTTCAGGTCCTTCAGCGGCACGTTTCCCTAGGGAAATCCAAAGGGACGTCAGAACCGCGCCCCTGCCGCCCTCGGGGAACTTCCCCTCTCTGCTGCCGGCAGGGCCGACCGGCCCCACCGGGCTTTCGGAGCCAGCAGCGCGGGAGAACGGGCCACAAAACCATTTCCAAGGCAGCACCAGGCAAGACGGAACCGTCAGCGCGTGGGTGAGCTAGCGCCAAGAGCGGCCTCACAGCGTTTCGCTACCGTTACCCAGCATTCCCCATCAATGCTCTCTGACCGTGCTGGTTTTTAACGCCCCCAAAAAACCTGATTAGACGGGTGACTGGATGGAAACGCGGAGTAATGAAACCAGGAGAAGCGGACAACGTGTTAGGACACCCGCTCGGCACCTCGCTCCCCCATCGTTGTCAAGGTACCGCGTTTTGCACAACTCTGGCAGTTTCAAAACTCGCCCGGGGGCGTCGCCGTTGTCGTTATTACAGATTCAGCTTGGTCAATATCGTGGAGAAATTCAGGGTAACACCTCGGTTCGTTTATAGACGGAGCCTCATCCCGCCACGGAACACGCCAGCCCTCCCACGCCCATAGACGATCCCAAGGTTTGGGTGCCTCCCTACCTTTCCCGTGGTCTGTCCGTAGAGCCCAAAGATCTCCCGCAGTTTCTCCTCGCTGATGGCCTCCGGTCTGTCGATTTTGTTACCCAAGATGAGGATTGGCACATTGGATATTGTTTCGTCCGTCATTAGTGCCTGCGTGCAAGACGGGAGGAGAGTTAAGCGGAGGCGGGAAGAAAAGAAAACCCCAGTCATCGTTTGAAGAAAACGCTTTTCTTCAAGCCGCGTGACCACTGAGGGCTATTTTTTGGCGCTCCTGTGGAAGAGGAGCCTCTCTGGAAAGGTCCCTCAGAAGCAGCTCCTACCCAAACTCACGGGCCGTTTTTCAAAACCTCTTTAAGGGCACCCAAGCTCTGGGAGAGCATTCTCATAAACGCGCGCCGACCCGCCCCCTGCACAAAGCAACGCGCCCCTCCCTGCAAGCTCAGGCTTTGGACACTGCAGCGCTGGCGGAAAAGGCGCAGCGGAAAGCGCGAGACTCTCAAAACGCGCTCTGCATGAGTTCCCGCCCCAAAAAAGAAGATTATTATAAATAATTTAGCGACTCAGAGGTCTTGGGGAATTAAAAAAAAAAAAAAAAAAAAAAGTATATTTACATTAAGAAAAACTTTGGATTCCATCAGGCGCGAGTGATCCGCGCAGTCCACCAGGAAGACGATCCCGTTGATGGCGGGCAGGTAGTTCTTCCAGACTCGGCGAGCTGGAACACAGAAGCGACAAACTGTGTCTGTCTTCCAATATTTGTGTGTATTAAAAAAAAAAACCAACCAAAAAACCAAAACCAAAACAAGGCAGAAAACCTTTGCTTTGAACTTCTAGGAAGTCTAAAAATGAGAATTCAGTGATTATTGGAAAGAATAAGCCTGTGGCATTCGAGTCTTCCGCGGCTAAAAATATTTCAGGCAGCGGAGGGTGAACTGGACGCATTTTTATTTTTTTTTCCCCAAACTGCCAGAATTAAGCAGAAGCCCCGAACCACCGAAACAACCGGTGTCCTCCAGCCAGGTTATTTGCTCCGTAAACAATTTCAGGCGACGAATAATTAGGTATCGCTAACGACTAGCACCTTCCAGTGCCATTTGTTGGTAGATTTTTTTCTTAGGGTGGCTGGAGAACGTCACGGGAATCGGAAAATGAACCTCATTTTGGTGCCTCCCGCTCAGCAACTTCAGTCTTACCTTGCTCGTGTCCACCCAGATCAAAAGTCGTAAAGGTCATTCCGGCGATCGTCAGCTCCTCCGATGCTGAAAAGTAAAAATACAGGTGTGCGGGGAAAGCAAGCCGCTGTCATGGGTAGCACTCCTCGGGGACGCTTGTTACCGTCACACACGCGCTCCTCACGTAGGACACGAGAAAGGATAAGACATTCCCCGAGTTCCCCGTTAGAAGTCAGCCACCGAAATGGAGTCGTTTCACAAAATAATTCACAACACAGTTTCTCCTACCTCCCTACTCGAGCGCAGGCTCGGTAACCCGCGTTACCACACGCTACCGCGCTTCCCGGCAGAAACCCGCTCCCTCCCCGGCACAGGCAAGTCACACGGATCGAAGCACGCCGGTTCCCGGGCTCTCCGGTTTTGTATTTCGAGGGGAAAACGCAAATCCACTGCGGCTCGGGCCACCGAGGCGCGACTGCAACCTCAGACGCCGGTTTAAGACTCTTGGGAGCCTCTTGCCCCAAGGCAGAGCTGTCACCGAGGCCTCTCCCAACACCGTCTCCCCAAAAACTGAAGGCGGAAAGCAGGGGCAGGCGGGGCTCGGTCGCTGGTGGACTTACTGGGGTGTAGCGTGGGACTTACTGGGGTGTAGTGTGGGACGTGGGACTTACTGGGGTGTAGCGTGGGACTTACTGGGGTGTAGCGTGGGGACGTGCTGACCCAGCCTGTCGTCTTTGAGCATGTGCAGCAGCGTGGTTTTGCCGGCGTTATCCAAGCCCAGGAACACAAGTTTTCCAGACTTTTTGTACAAACCTGGAAGGAGAACAAAACAAACGAGGCAAAAACTCCAGCGGGTTTATCTCTGTGCAGTTACAGCGCTTCCAGCACGGACACGGAACAGCACGGGGAAAGAAAATAATGATGAAAAAAACTCCAGTACAGCTTGAACTGGCTTCTGCCACAGCAGCGCGAGGCAGCGGCCACGGCGACGGACGTTTTCTGCGCTCGCATTTTGGCAAGTGTTCTTTCCTGGGGCGCATCCCAGCAGGAGAGCGCGCAGCAAAAAGCACTGCGTATGTGGGATGGGTTACGGATCAGCCTCTCGCCCCAAAGGGGGATTTAAGTGCAAAACCCAAATAAACTCGTGGAAGCCAGCGAAGAGCTGCTGAAGAAGAGGGGCGGAGCGTGAAAGAACACATCGCTTCCTTTAGGGAAACTGATTTTTTCCCCGTTTCTGGGCACGCATCTGCCACAGGAAAGTTCCTTGATGTTTCCAAGGGGACTTTTGCTCGCCCCTCCCTACCCCTCCGGAGGATCTGTGCTGGGATTCACCCCCCGGCCACCTCAGGGAAGGGGCTGCTGGCCCCGCAGTGAAGCAGCCGGCGCGGCTGTGTGGGTCATTGCCAGCGGGCAACGTTTTGGCCTCCACAAAAAGAAGCCTTCGAGCCAGACCACTGGTCGGTGGCCAGCAGCTCCCCCAGGGCGGGTAAGGGAAGCGAGAATTTGAGGAGAAGCAAGTGCAGCAGCGAGGAATAAGGGTGAGCTCCGGCTTGGATGCCAAGGAGGAGGAGAAGGAGGAGGAGGAGAAGAGGGAGGAGGAGGAGTAGAAGAGGGAGGAGGAGGAGGAGGAGGAGAGGGGGTTCCCTCCCTGGCTAGGCGGGCTGTCTGCCCGGGGCAGGTCGCTGGGATGAGCGGGCCCTTGGCATCAGCCCGGCTGCTCCAGCGCTTCTAAACAGCGAGGGAAAGATGGAGCGGGAGCCAAACGCCTCCCAGTTATTCCCCAAAAGTTCCTCCCGCTGTAAAAAGAAAAGAAAACGCCCAAACCCCGC